CATGCTACTTCTACTGAATAAAATAGTCTAAGTACGTTTACACGACGCCCAGTGATTTAAGTTATTGATTTAATTAGGAATGATATGAGAGAAACCTAACAACTTTGCCGCTGTGACTCTATGAACAGGTTAGTAGTCTAAACCGTGTTACTGCTGCTTCTGATGATAACTATTTCTGTATAAAATTGTGTGTGGGTGCAACTTATTTATAAATGACTCTTGAGAACTCATCCTCCCATCCCTGGAGTGACGCGATCTACAGTTTCATAAACCATTCTCAAGTACTTTCTGTTACTTAAGCCTTGGGTCTCCTCGGTTGGTCGATGTCAGAATGGAACTCACTGACAGAACAGTTCTGCATTGCTGATGACTGACAGGTTTTGTCTTCACACAATTTATTTGACGTTGAAACATAATAGAGAAATTTATTTACTTATTTTACATATTTATAATGGTAAAGTTGCCCCTGTGCTAAGCTAATTAAGCACTACACCATGAAGGTGTGCTGAGGAGTGGTCGTATAGATCCACGTATTCTTCACCTCGGCAATAGTGGGAGGTAAGTTGTTAGCTTCACTCCCCGGCGTCTTTATTTCTGGAGAAATAGCCTCTGTATCCACTAGAGAGGAGACTGAGTGGGCCCCAAAACCTGTCTGGACGACGGGGAGAAGAGAAATATCTCGCCCCTACCGAGATCCGAACTCTGGCTCATATACCATCAAGCCCGTAGTCAGTCGCTATACAGACTGATATATAATATTATATAGGCCTATGTTATTTTTATTTACGCGTATTAAATTATTTATTTATTCCTTTATATAGCTAATACGCTTATAGCCTTGCATTGGAACACTGTACATACTAAACAATTTCGCACTCTGTACAGTCGTTTGCTGCCAGAGGGAATAAACTAATTTGTTCTCCACCGGGTTCAGACATTCCCTGAGGCCCATTCGTCATCCTATCTGATCGTACAGTGGCTCTTTCCCCAGGAAGGGGCACAAAATATGGTGATTACCTAATGTATGAATGTATAAGGGGTGGGCCCTCTCGGCCCTTGCACCACGACCTACAGTGTGGTGATTACCTAAGTACGGCAACATTACTAATTTCAGGTATGGAGATATTTAACCCATTACACGCCACAAGCCAATTTTATCTGCTTAGGATACTAGTGTTAAAACTATCATAGCCAAAGATGTCGGATCGATACTAATTATTTAGCATAGCATTTCTCTCAATAGATAGTATTGTGCGTGACATATGGATGTTTAAAGAAAGAACAGGCTTTCATATGATCCAGATCTGTGGCCCTTTCAAGGTTTCTTATAGGAAGAAGGCTGTTGCAAGTTTTTGTGTGTAACTGCGTTTACTCCAAAGCACTCTTGGTGTTTCTATTCTATGACTGTGCTGAGCAGTCAGAGGTTTAAAATTCTTTCTGTATTTGAGGCGTAATTTCGGTTTTATTTTAAAACACTATTTTCTCAGAAGACTTCAAGACTACTTCTTCCGTAATACGAATTGGGCTATTCAAATAATTCATTCTACTTTCTCTTCAGATAATGTCTTCTATTTCCATGATATTAAATAATAATTCCAATGAAATTCTTTCCTAATGTTATAGCCACTTTCTTTGATATTGTTTTACGTATCTTGCCATAGCTTCCGTTTCTAATCCATTTCACATTTCTTTATTTCTTATATTGTCTCTCATCACTGAATACTGAATCTTGCATCGTGATCACAACAAATACGTCACATGCAATTTTGTTTTTCGGAAAAGAGTGATTACGGGACTCCCATGAGGCTCCTCAACAGCCTTATCTCGTGCACATGGTTGAAGATATCCTGTCTTCCATTTTCTGTACAATTTGGCAACAGTGAGCTGTACGGAAGCACCTGTCTGGCGGGGAACACGATGCCCTGACTCTGTGTTCATTCTTCCAGAGACTGAGTTGCTTCACGAGTTGGAAAATATGCCGTGAAGTGCAGCCACGCCCTCAGGCTCACCGATCTGAAAGCCCGCACTGACTTACGTCCCAGAGAACAAGATTCCCATTCTTTACTTGCCAAAATCTTGTCGAATGTTATATTACACACACACACACACACACGTTCCTTTAACTTGTTAAAGACAGATTTTTTTCTAAATAATATATAGATCCTCGGTTCATACCTCACAGGAAACACATTACGTCTCTGCTACAAAGACCAACCGGTTAATGTTGTTTAGGGAAATAATTGCTGTTTATTGTGAGAACCATACGGAACACATAAATACACTGTGTGGGCAGAATGTATATATAAATTCAGATCGTACCTCACAGGAAACACATCACGTCTCCGCTAGAAAGACCAACGGTAAATGTTGTTTAGGGAACTAATCGCTGTTTATTGTGAGAACCACAGGGAACACACGTATAAATAAAATGTGTGGGCACATTGCAGAGTTTTATCGTGTTAAAGCAGGTGATATATATAATAACCACGAAACTTTAAAGGATTAATGCGGGATTAGAGGATCTCACTGCCGTGATTGTTGTGAATATTCTGTTTTCTGAGATATGGTGCCTTGTAATCCGTAGAAGTTCGTCTCTATTTCGAGAAACGTACTGCCTCCATGTTTAATGTCGAAGATATGCAAAGCAAGTAATGAGTAAGTAGCAAACACTCATCTTGTAATATGTTTCAGTGTGTAGCAGTATGTAGTTGAACAGCAGATAAAGTACACAGTAACTAGGAGATGATTTTCAATTTTCCTTTAGAAATAATTAGGCACTATTCATTACAGCCTATTCTGTGGAGAAGTTGGAGGAAGAATTAGATTTTCTTGCTAATTCTCTGACGGTACTAATAAGGGAAAGAGAATTACGGAAACCGAAAGACAAACATCACGGTATAAATATACTTCTATAAACCGGAATATTTTTAAAAACTATAATTTAATATTTAATTGAAATATAAGCGTATGGACATAAGTTTGGTTACTTTTCAAACATAGGAGCAGTATATCGTAGGATAAATTTAAGATTTTCTAAATCGGGTTGCAAAATAAATTAATTAGAAATAAAAAAACGATTCTCTGTTGATGGAGAATTAAGGCTAGGTATGTCTTCTTTATGACGTTTATTTCTTGAACTTCCAAGAAATTATTGAAACGTTTCTCTTTTGGCCAGGACAATACATGAAGAACAAGAACTCAGATCTAGATATACTGCGTATATTAATGCTTTTACGCCTATGAGCAGTTCGATGTTATAAGAACAGGCAGTTTTGTTAGAGCAATGCATGTTATTATTTTGTGAAGGTTTGACACATGTATAGCTATTCGTATATTAAAATTTAATTTTCCTTTTGTTTTCCTCAATTTTAAATCTTACTATTCTTGAAGTTTGTGTTCAACTGGGTTGTGAATTACATGTTGTGGAAGGATACTGATGTTACTCCGAAACGTCGGCCCCCCAACATGAATATATGGCATCGCAACCCATGAGGGCATAGTTTTAAATATTACTACTTAAATATTTCAAAATTATGTTCTCCTAGGTAGAGTGTGCTCGTATTTATGTGAGGATGCTTTCCTGAAGACTTGGCATGATTCAGAACTCTCATAATTTAATGTAAGTTTTGAAACAACGTATGTGATTCTTGTTGAATCTTTCAGGGTTCACATTTTTTTAATCTTTATTGATATTACTTTTATCGTACTATTTCAAATTGGCATAATATGTGACCGCACTACCTTCAAAGAACTCGCATATAGAAAACTTATTTACATCTTAGCCACAATACTAAGATATTGTTCCTTTCCTTTATTTCCTATCTCTCTTGCTCTACAGCCCTTCGCATCTTGGCCGCTTTTTCAGTTTCTTAATCCAATACACAAATGGTAGGACTCCTAGGACGAGGGATCAGCCGTCTTACGGCCGTTACCTGCACACATAACAATACAAACACAAAACAAACGCACAGAGACATCCATGCCTAGTGTTGGATTCGAACCCACGATCCCAGCGTTCGAGCGGGCGAAGACGGTTCACGCTTTAGACCACGCGGCCACTGTGATCGACGAGGCATTTTTAAGCCTATAAATGATTGTAACATAATTAATTATAGCACTAATAGGGCTTACACATTGCCTGTTCCGCTGTTGTTGAAAATTGTCTGATGAACGGTCTCACCGTAATGATATTGAAAGTTGTATGTCTGCTTGCATCCCTAACTAACTAATTAGGTAGACCAATTAAGTAACTGGCCGGTCACGTTAGCCGAGCGGTCTAAGGCATGTACCGTCTTCGCTCGCTTGGAAACTGGGATCGTGGGTTCGAATCCCACTCAGGGCATGGATGTTTAGTTTGTGTGTGTGTGTGTGTGCGTTTTTCTGTGTTTGTGTACAGGTAGAGGCCTTGCGACGAGCTGATCACCCGCCCAAGGAGTCCTACCGAAAGTGTAAGATCTAGAAAAACCGAGGTGAACGGAGAAGTCCATGGAGGTAGGCCTAGGCCCACTGGGGCTGTAGTGCCAAGGAGAAAAAAAGGATGAAATTGAGTGAACGGAGAAGTTCATGGAGGTAGGCCCAGGCCCACTGGGGCTGTAGTGCCAAGAAAAAAAGAAGGAAGTAACTGACAGCAATGAGCGAAGTCTTTTTGAGAATCCCATAGTTACTTATCTGGTTAGGAATTATTAGGATAACAAAACAATGAATCAAACAATATGTTCAGGGCATTCTTTTACGAGAAGCTTCGTGATTTGTACAGTTTTCCTGTTACTGATGGGATGCCACGCTGAGCTGGAACTGTAGCTAACACGGAGGTTTAAAATAATGCTAAAAGGATTCTGATAGCGAAACTTCTTTGAAATTTCGAGTTGGAAAATATAAATATATTGTCCCATGTATGAGTGCATGCAGACGGGGTTTGGATTGGTAACTGGAATTATTGGACAGTTATACTCGTATCTGCAAGTACTTACAGCGCCATCACTAATCTCTGCACTTTACAGATCGCTAGATTACACGAAAAGTCTTCTCCGTCTGCTGTCACAAGTCGTTTCCTGGTAATTCATCTCAACAACGGAGATTCTTCAGCTTCTGTGCTCAAGTTGTTGCCGGCTTGCTTAATATTCCACAACTGACAACTTACTCCAATTGTCCTGCTCATAACTTCTCAGCACGGACCACGTAGAAAACATCGTTTCTTTATTGTAGTTCAATTTCTGCTATTCAATCTTTGCTTATTAAAAATATGTTGGCTAGTAGCGGATGTTGTTTTGTTGTCTGTTTCCCGGTCGCTTCCTAGCAATGGGCCTCTATATGCCACAATACGATAAGATAAAATTATGATGGATCTTAAGTAAATTCTGAGGATGAAATTCCTTACTATTTTGCCCAGTCCGTGTTTCGATATTTATGGTGATAAAATTCAGGATGAAGTAAGAATTACATAGTTGATTTTTTAAAATGAATAGTAGGGAAATTGGATACAAGCATGGAAGGTGGATGGAACTTTCTTACGGTCGTGTTAAAAGGATAACTTGGTACTTTCCGTCAGGAACCTTTGGGTTCTTCAGCATTTCCTTAGTTGTTTTAGTTCTGCCTCAATAGTCTCTTGGGTCTACTTCGCTTTAGATATCTCCTTTATGTTTTTTATTTAATTTCACCCGTCTAAACTTGTAGGCTACTCCAAAATACTTATTGTTGATATCCCCGTGTCGCTCCACTGAAGCGCGTTTAAATTATTGGAATTCTAGTACGAAGTTGCACAGATAAGAGTCACATGAAAATTAAACTTTAATTTCTTGGAAAGATAAGATGGGATTAGTATACATCATAAATTTTACTTAAGTTACAATTAGGAATAAATATAATTCATTCTCCATGATGTTTACGAAATAATTTCGACAGCTGTAGGAATGTGTGTTGGATACACACTTTGATCTGAGAGTACAAAATATTATTTTCTTTAGAAATATACGTGAACGGATTTTATAATCCGTATTTTTGCCTCACATAATTAATGGTAATATTTGTTGGTTTAAAGACCGCCTCTGTGGTTTAGTGGTCAGCGTTCCTGGCTGCATATCCAGAGGTTCGGGTTCGATTCCCGGCGCTACCACATTTTTTCTGAGAAGTAGTGGGTCTGGAACGGGGTCCACTCAGCCTCGTGATGATAATTGAGGAGCTATTTCAAGGAAATAGCAGCTCCGGTCTAGAAAACTGAAATTAACGGCCGTGGGGATTCGTTGCGCTGACCACGCGACACCCTCTATCTGCAAAAGTTGGCACTAAACTTCGACGAAAAGCGGCGGTCGCTCGGTCTGTATGGTTCGCTTGCGGACTGAAATCACGGAGTTTTTTTGTACAAGCCTAAACCCCATTAGCTTGAATAGCTCAGTCGGTAAAATGACTAGGTAGGCTACCGATTTATGTCCCTTACCGTGATGTTTGAGATTGCCATGAAGGCGTCAAGATTTCAGTCTTCTGGGGTAGGGTAGGTAACTACGTTTCGTATAAATATGCTGCCTCCATTTTCAGGGTAATAGTGAGGTTCTCACGCCGGTATCAAATTTACCGTCTTCTGGAGTGTGACACAACGTAATTTAATAGATAAGTACCAACGTTTCAGATAAATTTACCGCATTTGTCTTTACGCACGCAGAAGATTGAGGCTGTACCCTGGTATCCGTCTATAAAATTACTCGGCGCCACATTCCCGAAAATTATCATATTTTTTTTTATTATATTTTCATCGGAGTTCGCCGCCGGACCTTATGATATAAATAAACCCCTTTCACATTTCCACGCCCTATTTCTTAAAATCATTTCTAATATTATTCTTTCGTCTAATGCTACGTTCTCCGTGTGTTTCCTAAGTTGTTTCCAACTAAAATCTTGTACTTAAAAGTTTTCCTGCTTTACGTAACAATCTCGTCCTCTTTGATTCAATGGCCATCATAATATTTGACGAAGAGTGAAATTTATGAAGCTCCGCGCTATGAAAGAATAACACATTATCACGTGTATCAGCGACTCTAGAATGTGATTTGGAATGGATATTGGATTTATTGACCACTCTAATAAACAACTCGTAATTACACTTGATTGCAACGCCATCGCTGATATCTATACTTTACAAGTCTTTTCCAGCCCACATAACATTTACTAGTAGTTGCCTGGTAACGGTTTATAACAATGTCTATCCCTGCGTTTTCGGGCTCAAGTCCTCTCCGAACTGCCGCTCCATTTCAACTGAGCTCTCTTGTTAGAGTCAGAGTCAGAGTCACTTTACTACTGGCGGTTTACCTCCAATCAGTTCATCTTGGCACCAAGCCCCTTGAGAGTCGCGACCAACGTTGTTTATTTTCATCTGAACACTTGTGGTCGTAGTCCTAATGTAACATCCTCTACGACGAGAGGATATATCTGTCGTTTATAATTGCTGCTGGCATTCGCCAGCGCAGTCATTCTTGGGTCCGGGTCCCGCGGAACTCATGACCATATTTTACTGATGCTCTCTTGCAACTACCTAAGTCTCCTTATAACCTCTTTGCACGGATCGAGCAGAAAACACCATTTACAATACTACTTCTATTGATACATGCCTATCGCTGCCGCAGGAACTTTTTTACTGAGCCGTTGCCTATAAAGGGCTCTACACGTTGCAATATCATTTGACGCTCTCTAGCTACTTAAAGCTTTGTGAACTAACCCATCAGAAAGTGTTCAGATCACCTTAAGAACTCGCTTTCCGCTCAGTGTCCATGAAGATTAGAACCTGAATATTCCTGTTGACATTTGCAGTATCCTCTTGGACTGTGAATTCTAAACTAGCATTCGCAATTCTCGCTGTTATCTTGCGTAACTCGGTCCGTGTTTTAAAATTCACACTTCAGAACAGCTGCATACAGCACCAAAGAAAAGCCAGCACATCAACAGCATATACTCGTACACCAGACCCACAACACGTGCATACAACAAAATATTCACGGCATTATACTGTAGCATGTAGACCCGTAGCCAAGTAATGACTCTGTAAACAACACCCGTTGCTAGGCAACAGATTCATAACGCGCACCAATAGACTAAGAGGGAAGATGTGTTCTCACGCGGCCCTTGTGATAGCTGCGTGGTGCAACAATAGAAGAATTGTTGGAAGCGGTGTTTTCTATGCGGTCAAGTCTAGAATTTAGTTTGTTTCGAGACAGTTACCACCCAGTAAGGAAGTGAACACGAAAGTTGAGGGATCTCCGACTTTGGAAGCCGTTACCAGGCAACGATTGGTGACGACACAGCAGACTGGGAAGACTTAGTACGTGCTGTAGCGAACTAACGAATGTGCAATAGCACTATAGTTACTTGTAGTTGCGGTCTGTAATTGTTCAATAAATCCAATTACCAATCCAAACCCCTTCCATAATCACACTGTATCAAGTGACATTATTTTAAAAATAATTTAAAATATTTCATAATATATTTACACTTTTAAAAGCATAACAAATGAGTAGCAGTTTACCCTACACCTGTACACCTGATGATGGCAGCCAGATGGGTATCAAAACATGTAATTTTCGAATAATAGGAGATCTTTGCTTTCGAAGTTTGAATTTGAATAGACTGACGCAACAACCAATCTTCATCAGTGGCACTCAAGTTCCATACGCCAACACAGCAAAATATCCTGGACTAACTCTAGACGCCAAGTTACGGTGGAAAGAGCATATCAAGAAAAAAACGTGATGAGCTCAACAATAAGTTCAGAAAAATGTGTTGGTTGCTTGGACGCAATTCTGAGCTATCAATCCACAATACACTTACAGTATACAAACAAACTCTACGTCCAGTTTGCAGTTACGGTATCCAGCTCTGGGGCTGCGCCAGTGAATTCAATATTCAAGTGATTCAGCGCTATCAGAACAAAGTGCTAAGTGTATTGTCAGCGCACCAGGTACGTTCGTGACAGTGACCTTCATCGTGACCTTGGGATCGAGACGGTTACAGATATCATCGCTAAGTCCGCCACCTCTCATGAAAAGAAGACTCCAAAACCATGTCAACATTGAAGCGTCCAGACTTCTCAACGTGAACAATATCATTAGACGACTGAAACGGAAGAAACCGTTCGCACTAATTAAATGTTAAAGTACTAAGCAATTCAGTGGAAGTGACTTTGTTTTAATTTACGTAGTATATTAGGTTTAGAAAAAATTAATCATTAGTTATCCAACTAGTTTTAATTGTAATTAAGTTCTGGGTTACCCAGTCTTTAATTAATAAATAAAAAATACATTGACGAAGTTACTCAAGGACGATGAAAAGTGCGAGTGGTAATTTAGACTTCAAAATAACTACCTAACGCGTAGCCATAGCCAGCCTACAACAGATTGTGTCAGAGTTGAGAGGAATACTGTAGAAGTCGATCGGTTCACAGGCTGTCCTTGACACTGGGTCTCGGTTTTACAGCTTGGGGTCATTAGACTTGTTGTGGTGAACTTCGTCACATGTATTTCGGGCTGCAGCACCCCACCCCCTCTGAACAGGGTCAACACGTGTTAACAATTAGCGATTCCAGAGGTTCAGGATAGGAAATGATCGTTACGTGGTTCAGAATCCGTCAATACTGTGTAGCTGATGGCTGGGATATTCACATTTCGGGATTAAACTTTTTCATTTTAGTCCTTTACAGGAATGGATCTCAAAATTGTTGTGTTTAATAACGTCCGAAATAAGTGTCAAATGCCTGGGCCCGGTGGAAGAAACTTAGAAGATACATAATTTGTAATGATAAATGAATAGTGATGAACTTTATAACTCTCATATCTACAAGAATATTCTGAACATAATCAGAAAGGATTAACATCCACAGATAACATATATGAGTGGAAATATTGAAAATGATGGATTATGGTACCCCTGATAAACACTTTTGGTGCCCCTTAAGTATCGAAACAGAAATCTGAAGCAGACTGCTTTAAAGAAAAGTGTTAACATTAAGTGCAACCAGCTTTAACATCCTTGAGTCCTGTATCTTCCCAGATTCATTTCAGGATGCTTCCTGTTCTACAGTTTATTTACAAACTCGAAATATTTTAGATATTTTGTCGGGAAATATTTATCAAGATTTTACAAATATTATAATATTTTGACAATTATGATCATTCAGTTTTACTATGTTATGTTTCTCAGAATGTCCCGTGTCGACCCATCCTAAGGGGTGCATCCCACATTTTGGAAAACTCTGTCCTAAGCAGCAACAAACCCATTGATTTTTATAACTGAGACACAACTTCACTTCCGTGAAGGAGGATCTCCAAATTTGAATATGTTTGGATTTATGACTTAAATTTTTAATAAAATACTAATTTTTAGACGAATTTCTAATGAAATACTAAAAATGATTTTAAACTTTAAAATAATTCAGTTTTAATTCCTCGATAACTTGAAGATGCAAGTCAGTAACTTGTTTACATTTTATCAGAATCAGCAGGCAATTTCGCCCATTCCTATTTGACCAAGACTGTGTTCCCATTTTGTACTGAGGTAATTTAAAATAGGATCTATTAAATCTGTTTTGTCCCGACAATTGTCAAAGAGGGATCCCTCTCTCTTCTGGGAACGACTACCAAAGGATAAACACTCGAGCGTAAGGGGAGCAGCTCTGAAATTAAAATCCACCTCTACCTTTACACATCTTTGTAAATCAGTTTTCTCGGAATTGGGTGCTGTGAAGTTGAAGTGCACCTCCGCTTTGACAGATGCATGTCAGCCGAGCAGATCAAAATTCAGACTTCGGACAACCCTTGAAATCACATACTGATAGAATTTGCACTAATAACGTAAGTAAGAAAATCAGTATACAAAGACACTGCACATACTCTGTTATTCTGCTTGCTCCTCGCATCAAGTTGCTTTCTTGCTTGGTTCATTCGTCGACCCTGAAGATGGAGACGACATCTTCCTCCGGAACGTCGGTTGGTTTTCATCGGACTACACGGCGTTATGTTGCAGAAGCTGGAACCATTCACAAACACCGCTGTGAGAAATTCAAGTCCTACACTTTTAAGCCTAACTGTGGGATACATATGTAATTTTAGGTTAATTTAGAGCAGCTAAAGGTAAGGTTGTTCATGGAGGTAGGCCTAGGCCCACTGGGGCTGTAGTGTCAAAAAAAAAAAGGTAAGTTTTCCCCTGTGCTTAACTAATTAAGCACTACACCATGAAGACTTATGGGGTAGTGGATGTATAGATCAACACTTTCTTGACCTCGCACTAGCTAAGGGTGAGTAGTCAGATTCAAGCCTCGACCGCTTTACCCCTGGGGTAAGAGTACCCATTACCCATTGGATAGAAGATTGGGTGGACCCCAGAGCCGGTCAGGACGACTTGGAGAAGAGAAAATTCTTGACCCTATCGGGATTCGAATTCTGAAATTTAAAGCAGTGGTTACCAAAATTTTCTGGTCAGCGCCCCTTTGGTTCCGTCAACTTATCCACAGTGCACCCTGCCTTACTCTATAAAAAGCGTTTTTCGGAATAGCGGTTTACACAACTCACTAAGGAAGATAATACAATAAAATAAGGCACTTCACTGATAGTGCGTTCTCAATGCGATGGATGGGCTTGATGAAGGGTTACCAGTTTCCCAAGTCTGGTTTAAAGTCACTTCAATTTTTATTTATCAAAAGAAAAACGCACGGAAGGGCTTACCCCCAGAGCCCCTTTGTCTCCCAGAGCCCCCTCTAGGTAATCCAATAAGTGAAAAAATAGCGCTCATAGGGGTCTAACTCCAGAGGCCCCCTAGGTAATCCCATAAGCGAAAAAAGAAAAACGCACGGAAGGGCTTACGGCCACAGCCCCCCCCCTCCCTGTGTATTCCCATCGCCCCCTAGGGGGCGGTACAGCCCACTTTGGGAACCTTTGATTTAGAGTATCTCACCACGAAGTAAATGAAAACCTTTATTGTGTTGTGGCTGAGATTGGTCACCTCTACGAGCTCAAGTTGGAAATGTACAGCTCGGGAAATTGAGAGCGCCAGGGCGACCTGGGCCGCTCTTCAGTTGGATCGTTTCGTCAGTATAGGGATGCGTTATAATTGCTTCAAGTACTGAAATAGATTGGCAGCAAGAATGAACTGTAACAAATCTTAGCCGACACTTGGAAGGCGGGACCGAGTTCTAAGCCAGGCGTCACTATCTGAGACATCCGCCACGGGCAACTGACAAGAGGGTCGGCAGGATACAGGAGTGACAGAGGAATGAACATCCATCCCTCACTTTGGGGTGCGGTAACGCTGTGGGAATGTGAGGGGTTGGAAAGTAATAAGTTCACCGGGTTCTGGCTATCAGCTGAAGTCTCTTCAGACACACTCAATTATTTCACGTAAACATACAGACTTCAAGCATCGAACTACTCTTAAAGGGACTTAAGTTATCCAAATTTAGATTCGTACACAAACCTTGAGGGAAAGGAATTCATGTGTAAAATATTGTAATAATTTTAGATGTCATTACAAAGTTTATATATGTGTAAAACTCGGTCTCTTATATTAATGAAGGAACATTGTCTAAGGGTGCTTGAAAACAGGGTCCTGAGAAAAATATTTGACCGAAGAGGGATATAATAATCAGTGGCTGGAGAAAACTTCATAACGAGGAGCTTCACAACTTGTAATCTTCACCAATTCGCCAAGTACATTAAGAATCTTACAGACTGGATGACCGAGGGGTCGGGCTTCGAGTCCCGGTAAGGTGAAGAATTTTCTCATCCTTACGTCATCCACGCCAGGTCTGGGACCTGCCAAGCTTCCTATCCACAGGGTACAGGGAGTTATTTCGCTGAGGGTAAAGCGGCCGAGGCCTGAAGCTTGCCACTCTCCACCAACTAGTGCCGAGGTCAGGAAAACCTGGATCTATATATCCACTCCCCCATACGTATTCATGGAGTAGTGCTTAATTAGTTAAGTACAGACACAACTTTACCATTAACCTTTTGACTTACCTTCATCAAAATAGAAACACAGTAATTTCTGTACAAAATAAACATCTATTTTTAAGTGTGACATTTTATATGACAGACTCCCAAAGAGGTCATAAATCAAAGAAAATGAAAATAAATTCGAATAATACGCCTATTAACAGCCCACAAAGGAAAAATCCGAAATATCTGTCACAAAATCCTAAACGTGAGTTCGTTTAAGATATTTCTTACACGACAATTTTAGCAAATTATAAAATTAGAAACCCTGATTCCAGTTCTGGTCTTTTGGCTCTCTCGTGAGAAGTACAGCAGTAAACATCATGGCAGTGGTTGGAGTCTCAGTTAGAGAGGGTGAGTGACGCACTGTAAATTAAAGCCCGGTTTTAACCCATATACACTCTACAATCCTTATCTCAGTGGAGTCAACCATATCAAGTGTTCATTCTGCTGGCATCTTCCACGTCAAGAAACACAGAGAAAGTGCCTTTGTGCCCGTGATTTTCTTTTAAGGCAGCGATTTTTCACGCTTCCGCAATAATTTTCTTCAGGTAAGGGGTACTTAAAAATATGGGAATGACAGACACTTCTAAGTCGTGGGGCAACTTGTAACTCAAGACTGCCTTGGGATAAATTATTACGGTTGGTGTCCCCACTTGGACTTCCTGGCATGTGTTGGCCACTGTTTAGTCTGTCGAAACTTCATTTCAAAATAGTAGCCGGTAGAAGGCTGTCCTTCTCTGTTTCTTGCGTTGGAGTGCTTCTAATTAAGTCTATGGAGCTGAGCCCTTGTTGAGAAGCTGCCAGTCTCTCAGCTACTAACAATTTTCTGAACATTTTGTGGAATAAAAAAGCATATTACCGTGTTCACCAGAACCATCCACTGGTCTCAATCCTGAGCCTGTTCCAGCCAGTCCTTACCACCCCATCCTCTATCTCTAAAACCCATTTTAATAGACATCCACCCATCTACATCTTCGTCTTTTTAGTGGCCTCTTTCCTTCTGGCGTTACCACCAAAATCCTACATGAATTCTTTTTCACCTTAGCCATCCTAAACTCTGAGATTGGAGATAATACTGTCTTCGCAAACTTTGGTCCATTTTCACCGGAATGTATGCCATGACATCTCCACAAATATTGTCACATATTAGGGGAGTGCATGAATTATAAAACGGGTTTTGTATTTGATGATGAAATTTATTGGACCTGTATACAATTTGTTACATTTCACAAATCACTATCATCGACTGAACACTCTCGACTTCTGACTTCACTACACTAATCAAGTACTCTGGTACTATTCTAACTTCCAAATGAACTGCGAGTCTTATGTTACGACCGACGGTCAGTCGGTCAGTCTCCCTTGGATTAAAGCACCTATCTTGGGCTTACGACCAGATTTTTATTTCTGTTAGACAGTTGCGGGTATGTTGAGGTGGGGTGCTCTCTTTGACGAGAGGACGGGACCGTCGTTTACAATTGCTTCTGGTACTGCTAGCGCAGTCATTCTCTGTTCCCAGTCCCGTGGGACTTGCGACCATATTTTACGGCCCCAGATTCGGGATATCTCTTTTTTTCTCCTCCTACTAGTCACAGGGCTACTGTAGAGGTATTCGACCCCTCTCCACATTGTTGGCGGCCTATTATATATCCTCGGGTCGGACCTCACGGAAAAGACATCCATTGTTTACCAATGGATGTTTTCTATTGTTGCGTATTCGTTCTCTAAGTGTTCAGTAAATCCAGCTCAGTTCAATCCAGATCCTGTCTATAGTCGTTCCTTCATGTGACAATATGTACGATTATACAGGTCTACTCGGTTCTAGAACGTATCTTACTTGTAGCTTATAAGGTGAGCAACCTTTCTCGCTAACAGCTAATCCTTAAACCAATATTTTGTCATAAAAGGAATTTGAAGATTACGGTATTCTGTGTTGCAAAAATATGTAGTTCAGAGACAGTCCGACCTTTCGGAAGAAATCACAGCTGCCGTCCACCTGTGCTGGTTTCAAATTTGGCTTTTTCTTCCACCCTTACAATGTAGACGGTATGTTCCTCCGAAACGTCAGCCTTCGCCAAACTGCACCAAAAGAACATAGTGTGGCGTATACTAGACCCGTTGCTGAGCAGTGACTCTATAAACAGCGGCAATCGCTAGCTAACGGCCGCAACATGCACGCAACAATAGAGGAACAGTGCTATTTGTGTATCCCGCACCGCGACCATTGCTCTACAATAATAGAGGGACTACGTTATCTGCGTGATCCGTGCCGAGGGGTTACCTTGAAGACAATTGGCGCTACAGTTCAGTTAAGAGTTCAGGTGTGGTGTGTTAACCAGGGGGCAACGGTGTGAACACGGAAGCTGGAGAATCTCTATTGTTAAAATTCTTTAGCAGGAAAAGTGTAATGAAAGTATTGCAAAGGAATACTCATTACTGAGAGATGTTACCAATAAACGACTAGTGAAAGCAGACTGAGAAGACTCAGCGCGGAGTGATTTGCAGTATGGAAATCAGCAGTATTGTTGTAGTTACGACCTGTTAGAGGTAAATACATTTATTCACCAATCGAAACCCCGTCTATAGTCACTAATACGTGTGCCAGTAAGCTTCTCGTTAACCGCTGTGAGAATTTTACATCCGATATAAGGAGGATATGAACGTTTGATGTCTCAGTAACACTCGTGTGTCTGTACAGAAAGACAGATGGCCCTTGCGTACGGTTCGTACGCCCGTGTCATGACATTATACGGCCAAGTGAGGAGATGACGTTCGTGACATATCTTGGCCTTAAGTCGGCAGCAGCCGGAGTTCCTGGCGACTAATTCGGCGTGTTCCGTCGGTGTAGTGGATCCAGGAATTACCAGGGAGGAACTGCTTCAGTCGGTAAGCGTCTCTTTCTTCGGCATCCGGTCACAGTCTTTGGCCTTGAACGTTATAGTTAATTAGTAAAACGAAGCCAATCAGTGAATGCAGTAAGTTACTGTCTAAGAGGTAATATGTTACTTGGAATGGATCAAACACATCACCGGTACCGGAAACTGAATTAGATACGTATTCCTATTTTCTTGCAACCAGTTCATCATATAATCCCATTTCATAATTTATCAATTATCCTTCCAATCGACGCTATAACCTAGGAACTCACTCGGTATAGCAACGGGCTTGGCGGCCTGGATTCGATTCCAGAAATTGTCTCTTCTCACGGAGTCCAGACCGGATCTGGGGCCCACACAGCCTCCTATACAATGGGTACCTAGGATTACAGCGGCCGGAACGTGAAGTTAACCATTTACTTTCATCTAGTTCTGAGGTCAAGAATGGTGAAACTATACCTCCACTCCCCCCAAATGTCTTCAAAGAGTGATGCTTAATTAATTAAGCAACTTTGCCTTTTTTCTTTTCCTCACAAAAGAAAACAAAAAAATACGAACTCCGTGACCTGTAGTCCGCAAGAGAACAATACAGACCGAGCGACCGCCGCTTGTCGGCGAAGTTAGTGGTAACCTTTTCGGATAGAGAGTGTCACGTGGTTAGCGCAACGGATTCTCACGGCCGTTAATCTCGGTTTTCTAGACCGGAGTCGCCATTTTTACATTCAAGTAGCTTCTCAATTATCCTCAGGACGCTGAGTGGACTCCGTTCCAGACTCATTACTTCTCAGAAAATCTGGTAGCGCCGGGAATCGAACCCGGGACTTCTGGATTTGTAGGCAGGAACTCTGACCACTAGACCACAGAAGTGGCGACTTTACTCACAACACTGTAAAATAATCGCCTAAAGAGAGATGGAGTCTGCTTTATGAATCCATTTATTTTCTGATAGGTCGCATTCTTTGCCAGTCGCTAGTATTCGGAAAGCAGGAGAGGAGAAGGAAAAAGAAACAAAGAGACAGCAGAGAATCTAAGTCTCGCCATCAGTAGCCACCTTTATATAATTTCTCTCAACTACTAACTTTCTCGCCACTACAAATTGCCTGTTCCGTGACCTGAAAATTGGCATTTTTTAAAAAAAAACTCGACCATTCGACTTAAGAGATTTCTCTGTGTTGGAAGCCGTTGCTATACGTCTGTGTTCTCTGAACGCCCCTCTCCACTGCAGTCTCACTTGCTCCTACTAAGAATGAGTCCATCCTTCTTTCAGACATGTATTCTTGGCTTTGGAACAACGGAAGCCTTAATGGTATATCCGTGGTATGCCGAGAAGTTGCCACAACACTATTAAACGGAACGGCTTCAACCCTATTTTGAAGTCGTAAATGAAATAAAAAGAAGCACTGTTAGTCCTCCACGGTCTTTCTAAAAAGATCCCTCAGAATTGATTAATTGCTTAAAATTTTTGCTGACAAGCATTGCTATAGGACATTGTCAGTCACTGAAGTTATTACGTTGGAATGCCGAGGAAATGACTGATTGTCGCGGTTCTGTCTTCTGGGATATAACGCCATGCGGTGCATTCAAAGTCAAGTGGCGTTTCGGAGGAACTTATCACCTGTATCTTCAGGTTTGAAGATTAAGCCAAGAAAGAAAGCAACATGAAGCAGGCAACAAGCACGTCGTTGATTTCATCATCATCATCATCATCGGAAATTTAATAGACTTTATTTTCAGCTTAGGATGGAAATCAGAACCTCCGTAAAGTCTATGTACTCATAATATGTCATACCTCGTGTAGGCAATATTGCGGATGAAAGAAACCTCTGTAAATATTGTCACGTGTATGAATGACTATAGACGTGGTTTGGATTGGTAATTGGACTTATTGGCCACTTACAGATTGTAAATACAAGCAGCTCTAAGGGCGGGATAGAGTAGTCGGTATAGAGACTTTTTATGGCTGGACGACCGAGGGGTTGGAATTCGAGTCCCCGTAGGGTCAAAATTTTTCTCTTTTCCACGTCTTTCAGACCGGTTCTGCGGCCCACCCAGCCTCTTATACAATGGGTACCGGGACATATTTCAGCGGGGGTAAAGTGGCTGGGGCGTGAAACTGACCACTCAGCTCCAATTAGTGCCGAGGTTAAGAAACTATGGATCTATACATCCACTACTCCATATGTCTTCATGCCGTAGTGCTTAATTAATTAAACATAGGGACAACTTTACCTTACTACAAGCAAGTATAGCACTATGTCTAATTCACACATACTGCAGTTCATTACAGGACGTGCTAAGTCCTCTCAGTCTGTTGTGCCTTCACCAGTCGTTGTCTAGTAATGGATTCCAACGGCGGATATTACCCTTGCTCTAGGTTTCCGAACTGACCCTGTGCCTCAGCTACCAGCTTCTAACAGCAGCAGCTCACAATGACTTAACTGCAGTTCTCTGACTCACTAATCCTTCACTTCTCTA